GAAATGTTACTCATTACGATTAAAAGTGCTCCAAATGTATGGTAAAGGATGGTTTAAAAGGTGTCTTAACAATAAGACCCTTCACCAATGCAAGTGTTCGGGATTTAAGACAAACGAAAACTCACAAAATCAAACCAGAAACAAAATGAGATTACTGATTTTCTACTGATATGTCATGTGTGTGGCAGGGAAGATATCACTGGAAGTCGCCTCAATCTATTCACCATAATTGGCTTGATTCATCTGCAGCTCTTTTTTGTTACAAAAACTAAAACAATGGTACTATTGAAACTTGTTTTTTGAACTGGCATAATTGAAACTATTATAATAAAATTACAGTTGATTCATTTTATTATGGTTGAATGAAATAGAATTGCACGCAAAACATGATCAAATGCCAATGGAATGAAAAGCATTATCTAGCATCTTGTAAGTGAACTTCTCTTGCATTCAGCAAGTTATCAATAAATGCACCTCAAAGCAAACAGATTTTCAAAATTTTCCTGGGCCAGCACCACATCTCCCTTGTGCAGGAATGGGTAACCCACTTCAGGACTTTTGCCCACATGGCTGCCTTAACTGTGACCCAGATGTGCACCACCTACTTTATGATTTCCTCCTGCCACTTTATTTCAATTTGAAAAGACTCTGGTTCATGGACATTGCCAGCTCACAGGACATTCAGTGGATTCTGGCAAGAAAAGTGCTTGCCAGGGAAAGCAACATGTTCAAACATCGTGTGAGGGAGGCAATTGAGATCCAATTATGAAAGCCCTTTTTGAACAGACAACAATGGCTTTGAATTAGCCAACATCTATGACACCATTTTAGCCCCCTCAAGACCATAATGAATATCATATACATGTAACCTTTCTTAACATTCACACTTCAATTTTGGTGGAACAGAACAGAATATTCCACTTTTAATAAGATTTTTAATTGTACTCTCAGTACAGAAATTATTTTTGATATTTTTATCATGATTCCAGAACAGGAACACAGTATTTTTGATTCTGTTAATTTTGTAGTTGCAATACAAAGATCATACCAAGTCATCAGCCCTAAGCTGACGCAATTTCATCCGTAGCTGAAATCGCAAGTAATTGTTTGTTCCAATGGTTGGCAGCATCAGTAGTCTATTGATTGCTTTGAGTTGAGCACGGCTCATGTTGTCCAAAGTGATTTGATCCTCAAACAGTTTAGAAAATCTTAGGATGTCTTCATTACTAGGTTGATCTCCTTTGCTCCGAATCTGTTGATAGAATGTTAAAAATGAGACAACAGTGTGCAGAGCCTCCTACATGTACATGTCCAGTCAGTAACCTACATGCAACATACATGTACATGTACTCTTGCCATTGAAACACCTCCAGAAAAATAATAGTAAAATCAGAGCTGAGCAATGCTAACTTAGTGTAATGTTTGAGCCATGTAACCATTCACATCCAGGTGTACAATACAGGTCCAGGTTGTTTGAAAGGTGGTTTACACTATCTACTGGATAAATCACTATCCAGCAGATTAAGCGTGATTTTTTTTTTGTGAACACTTGTCCACTGGATAGCATTATCCAGCCTTCAAACAACTGGGGCTAGGTGTATACATACAGTGCTGGTCAGCTATAGCTGTACCTGTATGTGGCATAACAACTATAATTTATAGACCCTGTGCAAAAAATTAATAATGCTCCCTATTCCTGCAACTGAACCAAAAACATTTCACGTTCAATGTTCATGCTGGTATGTTGCAATCCACAGCTCTCCTCTAATTGGTCACTGCATTTACACAGGAGCCCCTTTCACGACCAGTACAAGTAGATTGCCAAGTTGTGTCTATTTAGTTAATAGTACAACTTAACCTACATGTTGACCTTTGAGGCACTGTCTTGCTGTAAAAACCTCAGAAAACTTTCCCAGGTTATTGTTTTGGTAGACTATGAGTAGTCCCTCTTTTGCTTAGTCTGTCGTGCGTGACGCAAAAGAAAACCACGAGAAAAAAATGGCCGTGCAAAATCCTAGAGGCGAGGAGTGTGCAAAAGGATGGACTACTGCCTAAGCCCAAGAGTTTGCCCTTAAACAGCCAAGTGATTTTGCAGTGTAGGATTTCTCATCTTGATGTCCTCTTATTATCGCCTGTTGTCAATAACCCCGGGAGATATTCTGAATAAAATTGCTCTACTCTACTCTTCGAGTAGCCAGGCAAAAACATATGCCATGAGAAGTATATCTTCATTCAGTGAAACTGCCAAAGAAGTTTTAAAAACAAGATGGTGAAAGAGGCATCTTGTAATGATTTTCACTGTGTCTGTAGGTGTAAATCTTAAAGTCATTGCCAAAATTGCAAGTTTCAACCGAGAATTTACATTATGTATTTGACATAGGAGATCATCCAACTGTGGTGAAATGTTTGCCGACAGCAGCCGAAAGTTTCAGGTTAATGTCCGGTTTCAAGTAAAAGTCCGGTTCAATCTTTCAAATGGACAGAAGAAAGGCCAAGCTCAGTGAATTTATATTTGCTGACTTGGATGATGCTGTTGAGCAGCGAAATCACTAACACGCTCGCAGTCAGGTTGGAGGCGGAAAGCTTTGCCAAACAAAACACTGGATAACTTTAAATCTTTCCAAAGCCTGTTGGCAGGTTCGCAACAACGTCACGGGTTGTAAAGCACAATTCCAATGCTTCAATTTTCTCTGGTACCTCTTTGATTTGCTCCGGTTCTACAACATTCCTGGAAGACATCACACGTATCTCGAATGTTGACAACATGTTGTCAACACTCCTAACATAAGCCAATCATATTGTTTGCTTTGTGAGAGCAACACATAATTGAAACTCTTGGGCTTAAGTGGTAGTCACTCCTTTCACATGCTCATCACCTCAAGGATTTCGCACGGCCATTTAGTTCTCGCAGTTTTCTTTCGCGTCATGTGCGACGGACTAAGCGAAAGAGGGACTACTCGTAGCCTATTGCAACAAAACACTACACAATACATAGATGTGTATATCACACATTACAAAGTTAGTAAGTGTTGCATTGCATTTCAAACACCAACGAGATAGTCAAGCATACAATGTACATGCACAGGTACATGCTCACCATCAAATTTTCTGTTATTCTGGAAATACAGTGAAACACTGTGCTAAGTGTTACATAGTCCATCTAACTGAGAGTAACTAGAGTGAAATAAGTAATAAGAATCTAATATATAGATTTAGCCAAGCCTAAAAGTGGAGCTGACCTGGGCTGGGTTGTTGAAACCCCGATCAAGCTAAGCCAGGATAAGCGAGAATTTTCATTTGATTTTTGTAACTTTGCAGTGAGGTTTTCTGTTTATGTTGTTTGGCCTTCCCAGTTTTGAGTTTGAATANTTTTTCACTTTAAACTTGTCCTCACACAACCATATTCACATTGCTAAGTATCTTTTCTTCATTAGAGCTGAGTAGTATAAAAATCTGGGGGACAATACAGTCCAAGCATGCGAAATCTTCTCTTCCGGTTGCCGTCCGCATCTCAAAAACACGCACGCTTAAGCTCCCTATAATCTGAGAACAAAGGTATCTTTATAACAGTTTATAAGTCCTACTCGTGCTGTTTTCAAAAGTTTAAGCTCTTCATTTGTGACTTTCTTGCATGCAAAGTAACGTGCAAAATCATGTTAGTGTTCCCATGTGAGTTATATATAAAATAAGTTGGCGACCAAAATTTACGATCTGGCAACCAAATTTTTCCCATTAGTCGCCAGCTGGCTCCCAAACGAAAAAGTTAATTTTGAGCCCTGCATGAGAAAATCAATTCATGGGTTTCCTTTTCTTTCTATATGAGTGAGTATGGGGCTCCCCTTGGCGGCCCTTCGGGCTGCCAGAGCTCCCCTAATATCCTTATGTTTATAAGATCAGCATCCAAACCACCATCATTGTTATTACACTCCTTAATTCATGTACGTTTTAATTTGAAAAATTATAACAAAATACATGTATTATGTAAGATACTTGACCAGGTGAACTGCATTAGCATTTTTATTATGAATCACCTTTTCAAAGAAGTTTGCAAACTCAGCAACGACCTCTTGTGTTTTCTTCTGTTTGGCTGTAACTGCCATTTCTTCAACTGTGTCCTGCAAAAACTTGGCCATCTGAATTTTCACTTTCAACTGCTTCTTTTTGTTTTCTTCCTGATAATTAATTAAAAAAGGTTGTTACATTATTGTATTCTTGAGACAAATTTCAATACTTACGTCCGTTTTACAGCTGATATAATTCTTATCATAGTAAACTAGAATTTAGAGTAAACCAGATAACACAATGCGATTATTCCTTTTAAACAATTTACACGCACATGTAAAATCAGTTTCTTATTATTTAAGCAGGAGACTCATCAGATTTTTCTAGAGGTTTCTACATGTAGATGCTACTAGTGTAATAGAGAATGAAGAAAGTTTCAAATAAAGTACATTTTACCAAAAGGATCATTCCACAGTATTCTACTGTTGCAGAGACTACATTCAGAGACTTTTATTATATACATATATCTATAAATGTAGACTGTCTACAAAGCAAAAGCAGACTGCTGTTGTGTGGTAGATGTCCATTAGAGCTATGCATAACACTAGTGTAATTTCACTCTGTATCAGAGGAGTGTGATGCAACAATAAGTTGAGTGGCTGT